ATCTATCTATCTATCTATCTATCTATCTATCTATCTATCTATCTATCGGCACTGTTGCTTCTGTCTTGGCCAAAAATCCAGGAAGTAAAATCCCCCAATTATTTGAAGACTTGAGGTGCTCATAAAACCATCAGTATCAGTTTGGTTCTCCAAGCTGTAAAAACTGGGTTCATGTAATCCTGGAAGTTGCAAATGATTTGAGGTCAGAGTCAGCTGCATCAGCCCATGACAGTGTCCAAAATGATAGTAAGGAAGTTACGGAAAGTTTTGAAGAGCTTTAAGAAGAGGACAGGCCGTCTGCTGCTCAAGATGCTGACAGTTCATCTACAGAGTCCAGCTCAGACCATTTCTGCTTGCCTACACATTCAGGAGGCAAGAAGGAAGATAAGCAGAATCAAATTGCAGCATGTCTTTTAAAAACAAAACAAACAAATCCTTGCTATCTAAGTTAGGACTACCACAGACAGGGGACTAGAGAAAACAAATTAAGTCAAGCCATATTTTCATGCCACTTTGAGATATTTTGGTTATGAGCCGCCTCTTACAAGGCTGAAGCATCTATATAGTTTCAATCCTTTTCATATGATTTCTTAAACAGACACTTTCAATTCCATTTAAAACTGTAAAATATGTCTCGCTCTCTCTTTTTTTAACCAATCAACAATTGAATGCTGTTTGTATATGAGGAGTAAAGTATAGATGACAGTGATATGAACGGTGTCTCCTGACATCTAACATCTTCTGTCCTAGATAGAAACAAGGATCTAGCTACACAAAGATTTCAATCAAAAAATTAGGCTCAATCCCCAGGGTCCGATCTGGTTTTTCCTGTGTGCTCTCCTCAGGCGTTTACAACTCTACGGTGCACTTTCCACTGCTTTTCCTGAGTGATCTATGTTGGAGCCTTCAGTCACACACGATGTCCATGCTTCAGTATTCCTCAGTTTTTCTTCTAAGTCTCAAGCCCTGATGATCCTCATCTCTGTAAGACCAGCCCCTTTGTTGCCCAACAGCTCTATGGTGATGGCTGATCTCCACCCTGGCCAGAACAGGGCTTGCATTCACTTCCTCACTTTCAATTTGCATCTCTCTTATCAGAATGAAGTCGGTAAAGATTTTCTTTGTCAAGATAGATTAACTTGTCACTTGGTCCCTCCTCAGAGAGCTGAGGTATATTGTCCCAGGGCATCCTTATCTCCTTACGTCACCATTTATCTTTGCTATTTGGGGGGGGGGGGGCTGGCAATTGAACCCAGAGCCTTACATATGTTAGCTGTATAGTGTTTACCCGTAGGCAAGGGCCCCCAGAAGTCTCACATTTGATGTAAAGCAGCCAGCCTCCTTCGAGTCCACATAAGGCGTTTCTTTTGTACATTTCATAGAAATACTGCTGGTATTTGAATATCCTCTAAAAGACATACTAAAATCTAATTGCCATCGTTATAGTATTAAGAGAAATCACGTTCCTATCAAAAAGGATTAGTTGGCCCATTTGTCCTGACTCACCAAACTGTACTTGCCAGATGCTGAAACCCAGATCCTGAACTTCTGTCCTTGGCACCAGGTTCCAAATGAACCTGCAATGCTTACAAACCACCCAGCCTGTGGCATTCTGTGCCAGCAGCCCAGGACAGACTTACACAGATAGCTTATGCCCATCCATACCATTGCCTCATTAATATACTTTTTCCTTCTGTCTTGTTTTTCATTTTTTCCTAATAAACTATGGAAATTACTCCCCTATTAGCCTCCTTTTTCTTTATTCTTCAAATTCTTGACAATATTTTTTCTCCTAAAGAACTTTTAGATTCTCTTCTATATTCTTATTTCTCTCACAGTGGTTTTGTTTGGTTCCATATTATTTTTTTTTTAAAAAAATCTGTCTGCCTACAGCCCAAGAAAGCCTTAAGTTCCTTCCCTCATAATTGTATACTTTACCTAACAGGCTGCTGTGCTTTCTGTTTTGCTATGGCTTAACTCTTGACTTTTTCCCGACATCAGAATCCGATCACCTATGTGTAACATCTAAAAGTTGGAGCTTGCTGGTCAACCTCTCTAGGGCTCCTTCCTCAAATTTACTCTCCAACAACTTCTCCACCTGTCTTATTTCTTCTTAAAAATATTTTATTATTTTACGTGTATAAATGATTGTCTGCATATATGTCTATGTACCACATTTGTGTCTTGTGCCTGCAGAGGCCAGAAGAAGGCATTGCGTCTCCTGGGATTAGAGTTGCAAATAGCTATGAATACAAATAATTATGATGCTGGGACCTGAACTCAGGTCCTCTAGGAGAGCAACAAGGGCTCTTAACAACCACTGAGCATTTCTGCAGTACTCAAAACTGTATTATTTACGATGCTGGTTCTTATCATTTATTTACCTAGCATTCTGAGTACTCAATTTTATAATCAGCGAATATCCATTGTGAGCTTAATATGTGTTCATTAGCAGTCCTAGTTCCTTGGAACAACAAACTGAAAAAAAAAAGAATGGGGTTCTTGGCTTTGTGGAGTGAGCAGAGACACACAATGAACGTAACTCAGCAAGATGAATTTTGGTAGAGAAGAGTTCCATAAAGAAAGTTGAAAGATGCTTGGTGTAGTGGCGCACACTTTTAATCCATGTGGGGCAGAGGAAGGTGGATCTCCATGAGTTTCAGGCTACCCTGAGCTACACAGTAACGTCCAGGCCAGCCAGGGCGACATAGTGAAACCCTGTTTCAAAAGTAAATAAATGAGTGAATCAACAAAAAATAAGTAAAAGTTGAATGAGACTACTACTGTGAAGAGGGGAGCTGAGTGGTAGGACTGCCACATCAGGAAAGAAACTTGTCAACAGAGTCTAAACACAGAAGTGCCAATCAAGCAAGCACTCCTACACGAAAGCAGGAGAGAGTGCGGCGTTCTCACAGCATGCTGACCCCCTGGCTTCATTTATTCCAGCTTCACTCTAGCTTCTCATGTCTGTCCATTCCTGTCTGCTCATGTGGAGTGGCCTTAGTGTTTACCCATCTAGGATGCATTTCCTCCATGGCTAAGCCTTTACAAACCCTCTCGCCCCTATAGTCCCTGATCCAGTGCAACTCAGCCCTAACGGCAGAACTTCTTTCTGAACGCGAGACTCTGTGCCACGCCCTCACTTCAGAAGCCCCCAGTACCCACTGAAATCACAAACTTGGGATTTAATATTCAAAGTTCCCAATGATTTGACCTTAAAATATCTTTTAACTCTTTCCTGCGTGTTGGCAGGCCCAAGATACTAACTTGTTTGCAAAGTACATCCTTAAACGCTTCTGTCTCCATAAGGCCCACAGCGTTCGCGTGGATGCCGTAATTGTCATCTCCTCACACACAACACGGAGCAGTCGCTCCCCTCCCAGCTCTGTCTCACTCCATCGTTTCCTTTAAGACTCTTCAGAATTCTCTGTTGTCATCCCCAAACAACTTTATCCCCACTGGCATGTGTCACATAGACTTGGTCCAGGAGTGAGGTTATGTGTCCATCCATCTCCCTCTCTTCACCCCACGCTCTGTTGCAGATGTTGAGGGCAGTTAACCACGTGTTCTTTACCCCTGTGCTAGCACAGCGCCTCACACGTAGCCGGCGTTAAATATTTGCTGGACAGATGAAGGCATTCGGCAAACCTGAATCTGATTAACTAATATTTATTTCATGGTACTCCAAGTGTTTTCCTTTATATCATTCCTCTGCCTCATTTCTCCTGAGAGCTGTATGTGCAAAGACAGAGCAGGGAGAAAATGCAGTTTGTTTTGAAACAGTCTAGTTAGTTTTAATCTGGTTGAATGATTAAACGTTTATATCGAAGAGCGTTAGAAACGATTGGGTAGTGAGTACACTATGCAATAAATAACTGTTGGTGAACTACTAATTGTCTTTCCACTCAGGATCCATAAAACTTCTTAACATATCCCAGGGCCTAGGTATTACAATCTCACAACCAAAGAAGCTGACACTTACCACATTACTGCATGTTCTGTATCGAATATTTCTTCCTTCACAGCTCCTAGGCCACAAAAAGAAAAAAAATGAATATTTATTACTACCCAAGAATGGCTCAAAGTTTGGACCAATTTCCTCATACAATCTATTCTTAGTACTAACAGTTATGTTTTTTCTTCTAAATAGATTCTTTAATACACTAAATCAAATAGTCTAAAGAAGTTGGATGTATAAACTGATTTCTGTATACAAGTTGAAATTAAACATTTATTTTGCTTTAAAGTTAAGAGACCTGAAGAAGATACAGTCAATATTTCAGCGTGGATAAGAGAGAGATGACCACCAGGCCCCATCCTCAGAGGAAGAGGGCTTAGCAGCTGATGGCTGCCGAGGGAGGGTGAAGCGGTTTTCTTCAGGGGTGTGGCCTACAGTAGATTATCCAAGTCCAGTATATAGCCCTTTGCCCATGCACACACAGGCAGCAAACGGGCAACACTGAATTCAGTGAGCTGTAAAAGTGGGGGGGTATTAAGTTGAGAGGAGGATGTGGAGGTAGGTGGTTGGGAAGGACTGGAGGTAGAAGTGATAGTATATATAAGTATAAAGTGTATGTGTGAATGAAAGTCTCAAAGAATAAATAAAAGTATTCTATTTAAATCATACATCACTATCACTTCATTTCCTTTCATGCAAGGCAGAGGATATTACATCACTTACACAGTTTCATAGCCTGTTTTGTTCCTCTACTTGAAGATCTTTTGATGGAGAAGGGTCATCTGTCTATGTGTTACTTTCATTGGTTAATAAAGAAACTGCCTTGGCCCTTTGATAGGACAGAAAATTAGGTAGGCAGAGTAGACAGAACAGGATGCTGGGAGGAAGAATACAGTGAGGCAGTCGCCATGACTCTCCTCTCCGAGACAGACGCAGGTTAGGATCTTTCCTGGTAAGCCACTACCTCGTGATGCTACACAGATTACTAAACATGGGTTAAAGCAAGTTGTAAGAATTAGTTAATAAGAAGACTGAGCTAATGGGCCAATCAGTTTTATAACTTATGGAGATCACTGTGTGATTTTCTTTGGGACTTGCTGGCTGTGGGGTACCGGGTGGGACAGAAACCCCAACAAGCCGGCCCCTCATGTTACAATCTTTTTAGAGAAATTAAAAAATTCATTCACTGTGTGTGTATGTGTGCATGGTGCACATGTGGGCGTGTGTGTGTGTGTGTGTGTGTGCTGTGCTGTAATGTACATATGAAGATCAAAGAACAATTTGCAGGAGTTGGTTCTCTCTTTTTACTTTACAGGATCTAGGAATCAGACTCAGGTCATCAAGTTTGTTTGTAAATATCTTTACCCACTGAATCATCTAGTTTGCCCTCCACTAAAATGTTTTTTGAAGATTTCCCCCCATGCTATCAAAATAATTTTACAGTAAAGATACTGTATTGACTGCTATATAATATTTCATCAAATGAAACAATTTATAAAATAAGATGCATTCCTTGTAATTACGCAATTTCATAGGATTCCATAAATGAAAGCATGACAAATCATCTCTATGAATAAGTATTTTACAAGTTTCTGACCATGTCTTTAAAATAGATAAATTTCTGGAAGGAGAATTACTGAACTAAAGGGAATAAACTTTGGTAAGGCGTTTGCAAATGATTGCCAAATTGCATTCCATAAAGGGTGTGCTATCACACACTTCAACCAGCCCTGTGTGGGAGTTTCCATCTCACTAAATTCTCAGGAACAAAAATAATTGGTTTTTGCTAAGACATTCAGTGATGACAATTCATGAACAATAGTGCTATACTCTTTTTAAGTAAACCCACACTTTTCGGAAAGCAAGGGAAATTATTTTAGGAAATGTTCAGAGAATCATGCAAATTGTAAACAGGTATGGCATCCCAGATCTAATTTTAAGTTTTGTGTTTATTAGTTCTTCCCAATTTACTGAGCAATAAGATTTGACCTTATCAAATGTGGTGAGACCATTGCATTGATTTTAGGGATGAGATAATGCCTCAGGAGGATGGTCAAAGCCCCACAAATCCTAAGTGTTGCAGTGATACTGAAACAGGGCCGCCTGGCTTAGGGATTTACGATCAATCCCACCTTGTTTGATGCTCCCACTTTAGCAGCATCTTGGAACTACTGTTACACTTTGGGAATAAAATGACTTTGCAAAATGCAAAGTCATGAATATGACTTGGCCATATAATTAAGCATAAAAATAGTGATTGTGGTAGGTCTTAAAAAATGTCAACAAAAAACAAAATAGCATCTGGAAACACAGTTAAGCAATTACAGGCTGTTTAAAGCGTAAAGATGAGGTCAACCCAATTTAACTGCTTTAATAAACATGAAAATTAGAATGAGAAATGGAAGGCATCCAAATTGTCGGAAAAGGGAGAATCAACAAAGATGTATGAGGTCAATGAGACCAGCAATGTTCTAGAGCCAATGAACTTGAAGTTGGTCAGCGGCCAGACTGCTGTTGTTGCCTCAATGGATAATAATACTGAATGTTCAGCTCACAATAGGAGAATCCCTCCCTCTTCTGACACCATGTAGGCCAAGATGCTCTTACAGGTCCTCACCACAGAACAAGACAAAGAATGCAACTTGAATATACTGCTTCAATAATTGAAATTAGCTTTCTTCCAGAGATTTTTAACCATAATTAAATATGCAGAATTTATCAGAATAATCCTTAGAATAGGGAGATTTCATATAATATAAATGATTTGCTGAAATATTTCTGATTAAGACAAAGCAAAAGCAAAAACAGAGGAAATTTTAAAAATACTTTTCAAAGAATATCCTGCCATTAGCTAGCATTTAATATTTATTCATAAACTACTTATGCTCCTAAGCAACTTCTTTTTCAAAGCTATGTTATGATTTAGTTGATTGTCCATTTAACTTGACAAAAGTATGATATTAAAGTAACAGTGTTCAAGTTTGGCAAAGTGTTTGTTCATTACTACTACTAATTAAAGGTTTCACATGACAGGCAAGTGTTCTACTACTGAGCATATCTCAATACTTTACAAGATACTCATCATTGAAAGACATCATCAAAATGTGGATAATAGATTATAGTAGAAACACTCTGGACCAGTGTTTGCTTATTATCTTTAACTTTTCAACAATTCCAAAGTTTTATTCTTCTCACTTAACAAATGAGAAAACTGAAGTTGAGGGTATTGAGCCTGCTTAAAGCTACATACACAGAGAAGAGATCCAGAGATTTGGAACCCTGGGCTTGACTAACTCCAAAGTACAACACAGGAAAAGGAGCAAGATGTGAGGAGGATGTGTAAGATACTAACACTTGATAGGACTCTGGAAAGCTAGAAAGGGAGTTGGCCTGAGGGTGAGCTTTATCTTATTGGTACCATATGCATTTATCTGCTGATTCTCAATTCTGGTAAATCTACTTCCCATAATGCAAACCTACACACACACACACACACACACACACACACACACACACACACTGGACCATCTCCAAAAGAAACACATTTATCAATAACATGCAATATGGAGTACTTCAGTGCAGAGATGCTCATTTTTAAAAAATCAAATGTATTATAGAAAAATATAGATTTTCCCTAAGTCTCAAAGTTACTCTTCCACCACAAGACTTAATTACTGTCCAGTATGAATTTCTTCATCATAGGGCATTTGTCTAGACACAAAGCCTCAACCTAGAATTAAGTCGTTTTTCCTTCCTTTTGTCTTCCTTCCTTCTCTCCTTCCTTTCTTCCTTTTTCCCTCCCTCCTCCCTCCCTTTCTTTCCACTTCCCTCCCTCTCTTCCTTCTCCATCCCTCCTTTCTCTTTTTGAAGTTTATTAATCTAAAACAACTGAGTGGGTTCCTTCATATTTAGGTGAATTAGACTTCACCTGTAGGATGAAAACCAACAGAAACTTCAGTCTGAACAGTTTCTGAGAAATGTGAGGGCTTCAGTGAGCAGGATTCCCAGCAGCGCACTCTCCCAGTGCAAATGGAAACACCTAAGAAGACTGGGCTGCGGCAAGTACTGTACCAGCTGAGCTCAGAAATGGGCTCAAGTATCAAATACAAACACCAAATACATCACAATCCCAAAGTGACCAACCAGGAAGTCCCATACTTGTTTGTCTCAGCACCGTACTCTTAGCCAGCCACTTGACTCAAGCTCTTCTCTCAAAGAATGGAAATACCCCAATCACAATCTATTCGTACGAGCTATAAGTCTTTAATTCTCCTTTAAAAATACCAGTGTGGACTCTGGGCAACTTTTTCTCTAACATGCAAGAAACCCTCAGACTCCTGCAGTTCCTGGTTTCATTGTCTTAGTTTCAGTGATCATAGTTTAGCAACCTGAGATGACAAAGATGGGAAGAGTGTGATCCCAACACGGGCTCATTCACACATGGGGCTCTCTGTTCAGGCAGCTTAGTCAGCTCTAACGCTGCAGAGGAGCTGTGCCCTCTCTCAAGTCAACTGCTCTGAGATCACCTGCGGGAACCCAGTGTATGCGGACTATACCAGAACAGGTCCTTTCAGGAGATAACGTGATACCAAGCCACTCAGCTCTTGAAGAGACAGGCCACCAGAACTTGTGGGTGTGTGTCAGTCTACCCCCAGGTGCCCATTGTCTTAATCTAGGTTTGAAGTGGATGCTGAAAACCCTGTACCCGGCCTGGTACTGGTGCCTATGCGTAACAGAAGGGGACATCTGGTCTTACCACACAAGGCAGAAAGATGAGTGTGACCCCCGGCCACATGGCACATGGTCCAGTGATCTCAGGGTCTCCCCTTTCCCTTTGGCTCTGTTTTATGCCTGCATTTATGAAAGCTATCCATTCAAGTGCTGCCCCTTTGCTCTATAAATCTCTTATATATTCTGTCCCAAAATAATTGGGAATATTCTATTATTACTGTTTAGTGACTACTTTATTAATATTTGAGATCTGAATTGTCTTAAACAAACCACAAGTGAATGTATAGTAGCTCTGGACCTTGATCTTGAGCCTAACTCTCTCTACCATGCACTTCCAGA